TAGGCAATTTCAAACCTTCGTTCCAGCAATGTCTGAAAAAAGGATAATTCCAATGTGATTCAGCTTGCTTTCTTTCATACCTCTCTTTTTTCTATTGACGCTGGTATTCTTGCTCTTCTAACAAACAGCTGAAAATCCTTTTCCTTCTGCCGCTGCCATTTATTTAACAAAATTTGAGATGTAACATGTGGCTTTGTTACCCCATCCTTTGACGTCTCCCCCTGCTTATATCGGCTCTTTTGTTGGTAACAACGCCTTCTAATTTCTCTATATTCATCAGCCGATATTTGCATCTCGGGATCGACTGTTCTAGTTTTCTTTGATCTAACTGATGTTAGGACTTTAGTCTTCCCTTTGAGCATCCTAGCATCAACCATGTTCTGATCTCTTGGGAAAGGATTATCATCAACTTTCATCTTTCAAGGTGTATCAAATTTGAGCTTTCCTTGCAGAATAGCCCTCTGTATATGTTGCTGGAAAACTCTACACTCATTAGTGGAATGAGAAGTGGTATTATAAAATTTGCAGAACTTCTTGTTCTTTAACTGATCGGTGGGTAACAAAACATGATTATCGGACAACTTGATCTGTCCCTTCTCAAGTAAGAAATCAAAGAGCTTATCTAATTTTGTGACGTCAAAATCGTAGCTCTCTTCGACTCCTCTTTCCCAAGGATTTGGCACCATTACTGTCTTCTTACCCCAATTCTATTCAGCCGCGACAACCTCTTCTTCTTCATCGTCTTCATAGCCGTCATCAACCGAATATGGATTATAGGTTTCGACAATTGTGGCATTCTTCTGGAATCGAGTATCTCTACGCATGTTCTGAAATTAGCTATTGAGCGCTGCCACTCGTTGAGCCAACTGACCTAAATTGTTGAATTCTTGCCCCAGCAACTTCTCTCTCCACGTTGGCAACATTCCTTAAATGACAAATGCAGCTAGCTGATCATCAGTCAAGTTCAATGAGAAGCACAGATTTCTGGTCTCTCAGAACCTCTGAAGAAACTCGGTGCCCGATTTATTAGTTCTTTGCCTTATAGTCGTCAAATCGGTAATTTTTTTCTCCAGTCCCAGTATAAAAAATATGTATGAAACTTCTTCTCTAGGTCAGCCTAATTAGCAATGGAGTTAACTGGCAGTGATGAAAACCAAGTGAAAGCTGGCCCCGACAGGGACAAGGAGAAGAAACAAACTCGATGGGCCTCTTCAATGGATGCTTCGCCCAATTGTGTAAGATACCCACTGATATATTCTATTGTGCTTGTGCTATCTTGGCCAGTGAACTTGGTAAACTCTGGGAGCCTGTAATTTGTAGGAAGAGCGACCAAATCATACCATTCTGGATATGGACGTTTGTACGAGAAGATATCCCATTTTGGCTTCAAACTAAACTGATTCTTCATCAACTCGGACACTCTAAGCAACAATTCATAAGCATTTGAATTTGGATTTCTCTGTAATTGCTGACTCACCTGTGGATTAAAATTTCGAGTACCTTGATACCGTGGATTTGGAATCATATGAAGGGTGTTGTAATCTGTGCCATAATGATACCCCTATGGAATCTCTATCTGATGGGTCCTTTGCTGGTTTGCTGCTTGAAGTCTCTGGTTGTAGATGTTAGGATCTATATCTCTATGAATCCTTTGAACTGATGGAGCTATTTTTTGAGCCGACGACGGTATCTGGCCTGATGTGCCAAAATTGACCATTTGATTCTGAATTTGCCCCATCGGCTGTTGCACATGTTGTTCTGACAATCCAGGATTATACTGTATCTGATTAGTAGTAGCACCCTAAACTTGCTCAGATGAGCTCTGAACCACCTGGACATCATCATTACCAGCTGGTGCTGCTTCTTGATGGCTAGTACTGGCTTGATTAGTCCCCTAAGTCAATGGATATGGAATATTGTAATAAGCCGACCCAACATGATCAATTGGATATCTATGAAACACCTCTTTCATGGTGTTGTGGACTGTGTTCAAGAAAACTTCATTATGGTTCAACATGGCATCATGAACAGACTTGTTTACAGCCTCTATGAAAAAACACCTGTATTCAGCTTCATCTGCATCTGTCTGCCCATGCAACAGAACTCTTGATAGTAGATATTTCTAAACAATTTTATTGTCATTTGTCTTGGTGTAGAACAACAAACACTTGTTCTAAAATTCTTCTATGGCTTTGCTGATGACATCTTTATCTCCATCAGGTAGGTCTTCATAAGGCACCATAAGGATGTCATTGTTGTTGTAAGTCACCATGACGATTGTGGTGTCCCACCAGGCGTGCCAAAACGTGTGTCGGTACGAAAATATGTCGACACACGGCAAGCCAAAAGGATCTGCTTAGGATGAGCCCAGAGATCCGCTTGGCTTCAACACAGGGTTAGCCGATCATGCGAATTACTCCCAAGGCATGCCAGTCAATTTGACCTGTAATTGATAAGGAGAGAAAGTTTATCAGTAATTTAAGGTGAAACATGCCGGTCTTTGCCCAGACAGTTCCAAGTGTGCCGCTTCGGAAGCAGCCAGACGAAAAAAATCGACTAAATAACCGATACGCACATAAACGGCTGTTACGGACAGTAAAGCTTTTGGACCGTGATTGATTTTATGTTGATAAATACAATACCCGTAAATGTAAACGAGATCATCAGCTAGGTGGAAATTACCAGTGTGAATCGTTGAGCCGATGAATCTAATCAAGAAAGGATATAACATGCGAACAAATTGACTGTATAATACAAATGGATCTACAAACGCTCTGAATCTAATCTGTTACCATCAATAGTGAGGTTCGACCGGATCGATGGCAGCTACGATGATATTAACAAACTAAAACCGAAGAATTCACAAAAACATCTATACTTCGACAGGCTTTCCGAAAGACATGCTATACGTGAAGGCTCGGATGAATCGACTAAAATAGCCGATTCAGGTGAAAATAGACTACAGCGTGTGAACAATCGACTATTTCACAGGGGCAAACCTATGGCTCATCAGACTTAACCTACTATCTCTAACAGTGGGGTTCGACCGGATCGATGCAGCCGTGATAAAGACAATAAATCAAACCCTTAAAGTACATAGATCTATTCATGCTTAATAGAATCATGGACACACACTGTAGGCATTAAAGCATAGGCGATCAGCTATTTAACCGATGCAGGCATAGCAAACAGTTAAGGTCACGCCTGATCGAGAACAAACCTACCAACTAACGTCCTCCAATCTATATGCCATCAGTGGGGATCGATCGGATCGTTGCAGCCGTAATAGCGAACTATAGACCAGATTCAACTAGCCAGCAAACCTCTTCAAGGTCATACGTGCCTTAACCGTGTACTATGCACGATCAAGATCGAAACAGAATAGTCGATGAGACATAACTCGTCGCTCAGAGTAAGAAACACCGTTTTGTGCCAAAGCGAACGATGGACTGAAAGGATATGAGACCGATCTAAATCGGTCTCGACCGGGCAGATTGATGTTGCTGCAAACTAATAACAATAAAAACATCAACAAGATCGGTAACTTAATGAATCTACCCGAATGACGCTATCCTTAAGTAGAGCCGATAACTTGACCTTAATCTAATTCGAGCAGTGGAGGTCGACCGGATCGATGCAGCCGTACTTGAACTAGACAAGAGTCGATAACTAGCTTATACTAGAGCTCGCAGTGGAGGTCGAACTTAACCGATGCAGCCGTACAAACAGAAGTATAAGTCATGACGGTACTTACAGACAAGCCGGAGGTCGGCCGGACCGATGCAGCCCTACTTGTTAAAGAATTCGCCGGGATCTACTCCTACTCCTACTCCTAAGGGTTGGCACGGAACCAAAAAAATTGTATTTGATTGATTGGATGTCCATTTACAATAGCTGGGGTTCAATATTTATACCCGGAGCCTAAGTAGGAATCCTAATCAAGTACGACTTATTATAATCTTTGGTATAAAATAAAATATTTCTAATTTAAAATAACTTGGACCCTAATATTTTCTTTTTTTTAGAGTCCGACATGTTTTCCCCGACACCAACCGTAGCTCATTCGAAGAGAGCCGATTCCGGTGCCGCATCTGAATCAGCTCAGCTGATATCGATCCTTATGCGATCAATTCCCCGATTGACACGATCTTGGAAGCTTCGAGTTTCCGCGTTCTCCTTACCAAATTTTAGTGTAAACACTGTCTAAGCACTAAGCTTTAGGGTTTTTTTTGTCCAGCGTACCGAGGCCGATTTTCATGTTTTTGTCATGTTTCATTATAAATTTTAGATATTTTTGGATCCTAGAACAGTAGCGCTAGATGTTCTAAAGACACCATCCAAGCAACCAAGATGTTCGCCGGCTGGAAGAATGTTTTCTTACCATTTTTTTTAATTATTTTCTTACCAATTTTGGCTCTCAAATAATGAGGTTGGTCTTGAATTTGTGGTATTTTTCGAGCTATCATTTCGCAGGCTTCAGATTTTTCCAAAAGGTCCGACATGCTTTTGCTTTTCCTTGCAAGGCTAATTTCGGCGTTTGCTAATCTCGCTTTCTACTGCAGAGGGAACTTTGGGAACATGTTCACATCCACATGACCACATGCTATTGCTATGCCAAACCAAACTTTGCCTGGAATCGTGCTCTGGTTTTGGATTTAGCGGTCAGTTATTATATACAACCAAAAATTGTCGTATAACAAACTTAATTTCGTACCGCATGCAGAAGCAGAATAGCACATATATAGTACGTGTGAGAGAATAGAACCACGAACAAACTGAACATTGATTGCGAAGGTATGTATTCATCCATTCATTAACTGTAATGTAATCCATAAAAACATCTACAGGTCACGCATGATGCATGCCACCGTGCGAAGTACGTATTTGCTTACAGTACTGTTAACGTGGTATATTGTACAAAAGAATTCGCGCGCGTACGTGATCGGCGATCTCACCAAAAATCGTATGACCAAACGACCGTAGCGATCGTGTAGTAGTACTCACGGCTTCCATGACGACGGCGGCGGCGGAGCGGCGGGGAACATTGGCGGCACGGCGGAGAACATGGTGTTCTTATCGACGGTGGTGACGCCGACTCCCCTGCCGCTGTTGGTGAGAGCCACCAGGGCCGCCACGAGGCCGGCGTTGCCCACAAGCGTCGGCTCGTTCTGCCCGAAGGTGTTGCGCGAGTCCTTGAAGCCGTCGTTCCTGTCAGGCCCGCCGACCATGGCGCCCGTCAGGAGGTTCGGGTCCGCCTTCTTGGAGTCTCGCCACTTGTAGCCGCCGGTGCACGAATACTTGACGCCGTTGTGCGGCGTGGACGCGCCACGGTGGTGCAGGTGCCGCGGGTACTTTTTGCCGAACCCAACCACGTAGCTCATCTTCTTGGGGTTGTCACCAAGAATGTAGTTGATCTGCAGGAGGAGGCAGAAGCACCATGGTTGATGCATGCATATATATATCTTCTTGAGAGAGAGGAAATGAATTATTCCTACTGGATCCTCCTACCTAACCTACCTGAGACTTTGCAAACTCCCGGAAAGGTCGTTGGTGGTCATGAAGTTTGGCCCGCAGTACCAGCCGGGGACGTTGACGGCCTCCATGTAGTCGGCGTAGAGCGCGGCGATGAAGGAGTTGGCGACGACGTACTGCAGCGGCTGCCCCTTGCCATGGTTGAAGAGCGCCATCCCGCCCTTGGTGAAGTTGAAGGAGCCGAAGCGCGGGAAGTACATGCACATGTTGAGGCTGGTGGCGTTGTGGTAGCCGATGAGCGACTCCTCGTACGGGTACCCGGGGTTGAGGAACATGCGCAGCCGCGACAGCAGCAGCTGGGCGCCCGGGAGCTTGTTGTCCCAGCTGAACACCGAGAAGTCGAGGATGTTGAAGAAGGCCTTGGCGTTCTTGGGCAGCCGCGGGTCGGTGGCGAAGGTGATGTAGCTGTTGTTGCCCGTCGCGTAGTACATCCACGCCGCGCTCCACATGTACTCGTCCCAGTAGCTGGTGGAGTTGTAGTAGTACTCGATGTCCGGCTGCCGGAGCGAGTACGGGGTGCGCCGCCCCGACTGCCGCGCGAACTTGTACACGGTGGCCGCGCCCTGGCTCAGCTTCTTGGAGTAGGCGGCGTTGTCGCGGAACACGATGGAGGCGGCCGCCAGGGCCGCGGCGACCTCGCCACCCAGATCCGGGGCGGAGCTCACCGACAGTGAAGGCCGAGGGTACGCCATGTCCTCCGGCCGGTTCCAGCAGTAATGGTCGTCCGGCCGGCTGCCGTTGATCTTTGCACTACCCACCTGGACGGACCAAGCACGTACCAGATCAAATTCAATACCAGACAACCACCATTTTAATTTGCACGAGCAAGCTAAGTCAACAGTCATCACCTACGGATTCACGGCTGTAATTTATTAGCAGTGTCTGAACTCTGAAGGGAGCTGCCAAATTTATTTACTTGACTTCGCATGTTTCAGTTTCAGTTGTTTTTCCAATAAAAATTGTTTGCCCGTGATTATATTTTGAATCCAGAATGCAACTGGTGGCAAGCTGAGAATGCAAGCTAGTTCTCCATTTGGTGGGGAAATTGTCTTGCGCTACAAACTAAGCATTTTATTTGGGTATTTTCTCACCGTTATCATGCATATGGCCAGTAGTACTGAGTCATGTTCTAGATCGCATCAAAATTGGAAGGAAAAAAATGGTCTCGATCGCACCAGCAGACAAAGCAAGCAACTAGTTTTGCTTGTATAGGAACATGGCAAGCACATGCGGATGGTTGGAAGCTGAACCTTATTTTACTATCAAGCCATGTGGCAAGTCAAAAGGTTCTTGGGTGTGCCGGCCCATTAATAAACTGCAGAACTAAATTGCCACTTGATGAGCTCACTCACTGTAGTATTTTCTGTAAACTGCTTGTAAGTAGTAAAACTCATATTTCCTCTTAGATTTTATTCAAAGGAAAAGGATTGGGACAAATTGCTCACTATATATAGTGGTGGGCAGAAGGAGATAAAATGTCACAAGATACTGCATATTTCAGCGTTAATTGTTAGACCTTTCATGCATGTCTCTAGATTTATATATACTGTATTCTAGAAGATGAAGATGAGCGTCTTGTTGTTTACCTGAGCGTATAACTTGTCGATGGTGGAAGCAGAGGAGTTGAAGGTGAGTAGCAGATAGTCGGTGCCCCACTTGATGAGCTCCCTGACATGGTCATACTCCCCCATGGCCTTGTACTTGGCGCTGTACTCGATCACCGACCAGCTCAGCAGCGTCATGGAGAAGGCCATCGGGAAGTGGAACTTGATGTTGTCGCCAGCGTCGTAGTAGCCGCCGACGAGGCCACCCTTGACGTCCTTGGCGTCGGAACCGTCTGACAGCCCAGAGTTCCCGCGCCACTTGATGCCAATGTTCTTGGGAAGGTGGCCGGCTGTCAAAATTTTAATTGTTCTTATCATCTTATGTATGATAAGAGATCGGATCGGAGAGACGATCATTACAATTTGAGCAAACAGATACTGTCGATCACACAGAATACAGTAGGCAAGATCTACAGGCACACTGTACTCCGTGCAAGGTCCACATAGAATTCAGCAAGAACAGAGAATCACAGAGAGTACAGGCGATTCGGGAAAAGATGAAGTAAGTACATATATGCTACAAGAACGGAGAATTAATTCAATTCAGCAAGATCTACCTACACGCAGTTAACTTGATTCAGATCCTAAAGCTGAATTTTTTGTGCTGTGTTACTTAAAGAATGGATCAACTTGGTGGCCTACATCTACATACATGTGAGCGAACGTGCCAAGATTCCTCCTATCCTACTCCTACCGATTCGAAGGCAATTGGGATTTGGGCGATTTCTCCATCCCCACATCAGATTCAGACCGTCACTTTCTGCAAATTAAATTAAAGGTGTAGTAGTGACAGGAAAACAGGACAGAACATTCCGCTGGTGGGGTTGCATGAAGCTGTGGACAACTGTACCGAGGTGCAAGAACTCAAGATAATGAATGGTCAAAAATGGCAATTCGATCAATTTTCTCATAATATGTGACTGCTATATATCGAATTTTGCTCTGCAAGTTGCAGTAAAAATGGCAGATCCATACATGTTTCAGCTGATGGATGGATTAACAAATACAAATACTCCTATACTATCGTGGTATCCACACATGACATGGTCTGTAGCAGAGCAGAGTTTCCAAAAAATCAACTTTTTCTCAACAAAATTCAAACTCACATTTCTGGGCGTTGAAGAAGAGGAGCGCCTTGTGCAGCGCCTCTGTGTACTGATCGGGCGGCGGCGGGCCGGGCTTCTTGTGTGGGATGGACTTGGCGATGATGATGGGGAGGCCGATGAGGACGAAAGCGGCGACGACGCACCACAAGGCCCACCACAGGACCTTGCGCTTGACGACGATGCATCCGAGGTCCACGTACTTGTCCTTCTTCTTGGCCTCCGGCGGGCCCAGCAGCCAGCTCTGCTGTGTCTCGTCCAGCTCGTGGTGCTGCCGCGCCGACAGCGCGCCGCGGTCCAGGTCCATGTTGCGGCTGTGGTCGTCCTCCGCCGCGCCATCGGCGATCTCGAACGAGCCGCCCCAGTGGTTGGCCGAATACATGGCTAGCTGCCGGCCGGCCTGGCTGCTGGGCTGAGAGCTGCCTTCCCTCGCTCGGGTAGAGTTGGCTTTGATGGCGAGCGCGGTCAGCGGCGCATGGATGGGGACGCTTTGGATGGCTGGGGCAGGCGGTGGCGAGCCGCGAGCCTTCCTGGTCCTGGCGATGGGTTACGGACTGAGCGAGGTGACCTTCGACCGGGGTGGGGAGTTTTGAAGAGGGAGGGGGGTGGTTGACCCGTGGAGGGTGGGTGCTGCCGTGCTGGGTGCTGGGTGCTGGGTGCTGGGGCTGGTGCTGTGGCCTTCCCTTCCCCTACACTGCTCTGCTACTGCTAGGGAAGGAAGGTGCGTGTGCCACAGTGAGTGAGACGTACCTAGTACCTACCAGCTCATGGCAGTTGGCACACTGTCGGTGGCGAATTAAAAGGGCTCTCACCTCTCCATGATCTTTTTTTTTTCGAAAAAAAGCTCTCCACTCCATGCATCAATCAAATCCAATAACGTATGCTTGCCGATCTGTCGGTTTGCGAATTTTGTATTGCTCGTGGCTAACAACATGATTGACAACACATAGGCCTGATTTAGTTCGTAATTAGGAAAAATATTTATATAGTATATATGGCATTTTCGTTTTATTTGATGCAATGGAGGCATTAAATGTCTAAAAGAAAAACTAATTGCAAGATTCAACCTCGAAAATTACAGAATTAACGTTTTTGTAATTAATTAGTTTTTTATGAACATTTATTTGCTAAATAAATATGTCCAAAGGTGCGATGTGATGGAAAGAAATGAAAAAATTTAGAATCTAAACAAGGCCATAGTTGTTTTAACTGTCCCGTGGCCAGCTGCATAGCTCCACTAGTCAACAAATAGGCCCTGTCTGTTTCTATAGACGTTTTTAAAATTTCGGTCACATCGAATATTTAGATACATGTATGGATAATTAAAATATAGACTAATTACAAAACTTGCGACTAATTTACGAGACAAATCTTTTAAGCCTAATTAGTCCCTGATCTGACAACATGGTGCTACAGTAAACATGTGTTAATGATAGATTAATTAGGCTTAAAAAATCGTCTCGCAAATTAACATCCATCTATATAATTGGTTTTATAATTAATCTATATTTAATGCTCTTTATTAATATTTAAATATTTGATGTGACATAAATTTTAGGAATGACTAAAGAACCAAACGACCGACGCAACTCAGTTAGTACCGAATTATTGCCACGCCAGAGCTTAACTTGCCTTTTTTTTACAAAAAAAAGAATATCTGATTTAATAGCAGGGTGCTTGAAATACTAAATCTTTTCTAAAAATCATTGAATCAGGGAGCACAAACGTCAGTCACCCCAGGCCACTTGGCCAGTATGAGCTTTCAGTTCATTTCCTCTAGTGCACTGCATGCAATTGGTTCTTGACCCTCAGCGTGTAGTATTTTTCCGGTCAAAAACGTCGCTGTACTGTACAGCGGTCGCTGTTTGCTAGCTTGCCAGTTGAAACATTAAATGGCCGAAAAGCCCTCCTGCTGGTGAGCGAGGTCGGCCATGGAAAATGCTCCCGAGACCGAGATGGAGATGCATAATTGGTTGGTGGTTAAATACTAGGCTAAATGAAAAGCTGAACACGCATGTGCCGGGAAAGATAAACAAATAAAGAAATGACATAAGGGGAAGAAGTAGTATCTTTTCCGGTGAAACGTCCATGTACTGTACAGCGGTCGCCAAATTTAGATTTTGTTGCCAATTAAAATACGAAACTGGCCGTTACAGCCTCCTGCTGGTGAGCGAGGTCTAAATGGACAATGCTCCCGACTCCCGAGATGGAGATGCATACATGAGACGAACGCCAGGCTAATGAAGAAGCTGAACAATTATACTAAATAAAAAGATAAACAAATAAAGATATGACAGGAGTGGAAGAAGGAGCCACTCCTCCTACCTCGCATTCCATGTGTTTTTTCTTTTGGACCAGAGACTATAGACTGGAGTGAGCCACCGACACAACCCGGCCCGCACAGGGTTGTTGAGCCTGCAATTTTTGGGCTTTTTTTTGCGGGTATGCAATTTTTGGCCTTTGATCGGTGGCTCCCGCTGGATATCCATCCCTAGCTAGTTCTTGTGTGGAACACAACTATTCTACGAGCACCTCCACTGGGAATTATTGTTACTCGGATTGAAAAATGAGAAAAAAGAAGTTGACTGCGGTCTGAAGATATTGGAGGTGCAGTTAACTGTTGAAACCTAGCTGCTTGCTTGGCTGCTTCAATACAACTTTTTCGAAGCGTCAGTAAAGCTCAATTACTGTAACATGTTTCAAATCCAGCAGCAGTGCCTACGCCTATCCTCTCATGGGTCATGGCCATGGACATGATATGCATGGCTCTAAAAATGTTCATGGGCAAACTGCACTGGACACCAACTCACCACATGGAGGCACGGACGGACGGACGGACAGAATTATGAGAAAGGAATCACAACACAAACAGGCACATACTATACAACACCAAAAGGTGATGATGACTGACGCGGACAGATTTGTTACCGCACCTCACCTGCGAGCATGACAAAATGCTCCTCCCTTAAAATATTGACCATCTCGCATTGGCGATTTGGAAAAAAAACCCCAGCCGATCAATGCCTGGCCTGGCCACTTCTCTCGCTCGCTCCTACTGCCATGCCAAACGGGATAGTCTGCACAGCGAGAACAACAGATCATACGTCGCTACCCCACACCAGGCAGAAGGCCGCGCTGCGTGGATCGGAGCAGAATGAGAATATACCTCCACCAAACACCAACACATGGAAAGCGATGTTCCCGTTTGCTGTAGTGATCTCCACTGGGTTTCGGAGCCCCGGCCCAGCCCCCGTCTAGTCAAGTAGTAGTAGTACTCCTAGACGAGGTGGACAGATGATGTGACGCATACACGGCACACGCGCTCTTCCAACGAGATGGAGTGGGTTGAGAAAAAGTAAAGATGCCAACGGGTATTTTAACCGTAGAGCCTGTTCGACTGGCTGCTGGTACATATTGTTTCTGGTCTGTGAAGAAGTACTGCGGATTGGTTTGTGTGAGAGAAAAATACTGTTTCGGCTGAAAATTTACGATCGTTCACTTAGCCAAACGAACAGGTGATAAAGCAGAAAAAAAAAAATCTTCTTTGGTTGGTTTGTGTGAGAAAAAACACAGTTATTTGAAAAACACTATTCATGTGAACGATTAATGTCCGTGTGAGGGCTCAGCCCGGCCGAAAACAGTGATAGGTCTCGAGACCCATACTCATGAGTGCTGTGTACCGCGTTTCGCCACCATCCACGGCTAGCATTAATCACCCTATTCACTTGGACTTATTTGGTTTATAAGCCGTATTTTTTCAGCCAACGAACAATATTTTTCTCTCACATCAAATCAGCCAACAATACTTTCAGCCATGGCTTATCAGCCAAACAAGCCCAAAGCGAACAGGACGATTATGTGCTCGCGCCTCCTATCCGCGAGCATGTCTTGCCCGAGGGCGTGCTCGCAAGCCTCAGACATTGCGCGGCAGGACAGCGACCTACGGCCAACGTCTGCGCAACTGTGCGTCGAAGTGGAGGCGTGTCTGTGCGAGCAGAGTGGAGGCGCGTCTACGTCGGAGTGGATGACGGCATGGACGGCGCCCCGCATCGAAGTGGAGACGCCTCTGCACGAGCGGGTGAGGCGTTCGGTGATCGGTGACCGCGCGACTGTGCATCTACGCTACCAGGAGAGACGTGACACCGACGCCGTGACCACTAGTTGGGGTGGGGAGCGTGTGGATGACGGCTGCATGGGATTGGGAGTTTGGGATGAATAAAACCCTTGAATCTAAAGGATATGTACCTCTTTTGCAATGGTCACACATGTCCCTTTGCCCGTTTGGTACAACTGTGAAAGTCTGTACTCATGCCCATGCCCGTGGGCACAAGTTGGCGACACGGGTTTTTATTGCATGTTGCCATCTTTAAGACAAGAATGGATGGAATATGGCCATCATGGATTTGGGATATGGATATCCCTATTGCATGTTTGGTTGGATGGATAAGACGAAGTTTTTTCGGTTTAGTTTAGATAGATGAGAGTGGATGGGATGAGAATACTTGACTAATTGTATTTATATTATTTAAAAATAAAAAGTAATTATACACAAATAAATATGTACTAACACTAGATTTGTCATGATCATAGCTAATTACAAATAAAATATGTTAATTAGCACCACTATTGTCCTAATTTGCATACATAACATGCACTAATCAACATATTAGCACTTATAAAAATTCATCTTGCCATTATAATTACTAAGCAATAATATAACATACTAATAATCATTAATTATTTGTTAATGATAAATATTAGAAAACATGGATAAGCTCGCTAGACAAATTTTCCGTGCCTAGAATATCCAACTTCTGTAAGAATATTCCTATCTATACCCACGCTTGTCCGCGAACCAAACGATACTCGTCTATGGATTGTCATCTCCCTCTAGAGATATCTATGAAACCAAATACACCTTAAACTACGGCGGTCGCGGTCCATATGATGGGAGCTTTGCAACGCATACACAGCACACACGCAATTCCTATTTGTTCTGTGACCATCTTGTGAAATGCAAATGCATATAAACATCCGGCTCTTGAGCTATAGCACGTCTGTCGCTCGACCAATCACCAAAAAACGTCTGAAATCCATGAGCTATAGCTCATAAAAATGGCGAGCGGGACCGAAAAATCGACCTGAGGACAAACTACATGTATCTATAGCTCATCAATTGTGTTGGGACTCTAGCTCTCGGACGAATGGTTTTTTAGCACCGACAACGGGGACGATGAGTCCCCACCTAATTATATTACCACATATTCCAGAAAGCCTGGTGGGTGGAGGGCCGTAGCCCGGTTTTAGGCGTGGAGCCAGTTACAAAATTAAACCAAGATACATGAACCAAGGAGAAGAAAGAGATTACATTACATCCAAACA